GATCAGAGACCAAAATATAAAAACTAAAACTAAAAACTCTCATTAGAAAAATATAAGTGTTAAGTCTTTGGAGTCTTGGATTAGACAATGGTTTCTTAGAAATGACACCAAATGTACAAGCAAGAAAATAATAAACTGAACTTCACCAAAATTTAAAACTTTTGTGCTTAAAAGTTCAAATGAAGAAAGTGAAAAACTATCCACAGAATGAGAGAATATATTTGCAAACCATATATCTGATATAAGACTTGTATCCAAAATAAAGAACAATTACAACTCCACAACAAAAAGAAAACTCAATTTAAAAATGGACAAAGGATTTGAACAGACATTTCTTCAAAAAAGATATAAAAATAGTCAATAAGCATATGAAAAGATGGTAGTTATCATCGTTATCCATCATGTAATGCAAATCAAAACCATAATGGCATACTGCTTCACATCTAATCGAATGGCTATTATCAAAAAGACAGACAATAACAATTGCCAAAGCTGTGGAGAAATTGGAACTGTCCACTATGCTACAAGAAAGAAGACAGTCACAAAAGACCACATGTTGTATGATTCCATTTATGCAAAATATCTAGAATAGGCAAATCCATAGAGTCAGAAAGTAGACTGATGGTTGCCTAGGGCTGGGTGGTGGGAGAAAGGAGAGAAAATGAGGAAGCACTGACTGCTAGAAAATATAGTGTATCTTTTGGGAGTGATAAATATGTTGCAAAATTGATTGTGATGATGACACAATTCTGTGACTATACTAAACACCACTGAATTTTACACTTTACATTTCAATAAAGCTGTTACAATTTTTTTAAAGTACAGCAGAGCCTGTGTTCAATGAATGTAGATCTTTGAAACACGGCAATAAAAAGTGAAAACCACTAGTATAAGTGAATTATATCCTCCTTTTTAGTATTTCTTCCTTTACTTGTTCAATTACTACATCAAAAATAAAAATCAAAACTAATCATTTTACTGTAGACTCTACTTTCACAAAGCAGTAGGGATTGCTGTCCTATGTCCATGCTCACAAAGCTAATGCATACTTGGGCAATATCAGATCATACTAGAATCTGAATTTAGCATCTCTGTAATACAAAGGAACAAGTTATACTTTGGATGAAAATATTTTTCATTTTAATTTTGGAGATTTTTATAGTAAGCTGACAGTTTCCCACTAGCTTCAAGGAAATATAAATGAATACACTAGCACATCACCTATGCATTAACAATTTATGAAGAATCTTCAAGGTCACAACACAGTCATTTACAAGAGGCAACAATCCTATCCGTTAGAGCTCTGTAAAGGTATAGCATGAATTTTACCCACTCAATCCAGCTAAGCTGGTTTGTAAGGCAATGAGATAGTGAGCAATTCTAGCCATCACCCAGCACCTACAATCCAGCTGTCAGTATGAACACATTTATGAATCTGCAGAGACTTCACAATGAGCCCTTGCCAATGTTATGGGTCAAGTATGTTACCCATCATAGGAGCTGAGGCCAAGCAAAATATATTCTACTATTTATACAAAACAAGTATATAACCAAATTTCACACAAATTATGTATAATTTTCTATGCCTATGGCCCTACAGACCCTATGATTTCATGGACAGAAACTTCTTTCTTAGATGTATATTAAAGTTTTGTTTTTAAACATTAATTCTTATGTTGTAATGTTTTTAAAAACTCATGATTTAACACAGCTTTAAAAAAAAACCTGTGTTGTTACATTTTTACTTCGAGGACAACAAAAAAAGTGAAAAGAAAACTGAAAGATTTACAGGCATGTGTTCCCTATAAGAAGACACGATTCAACCTATTATCCAAAGTATTTTGTGTATACTCTTTAAAAATAATATTTAGGCTCATTCGAAACCTGAAAAAGATTTAAATACTACAGTAGCTGTCTCTAAAAATTCCTTGCGTAAACTTACCTATCTACACTGAGTGATGTAATTCAGGGAGACTTTATATTTCCAACAAGTTCAAATGACAGACTTGCAGAATACTTAAACACTGTTCCTTCAATACAATTCCAAGAATTGCTTCACTGGGCATCACATAAGATATGCACCAAAATTCAGAAATCTCATCTCTAACTTGACATACACACAGAACTGGGTTGTACTAGTCTGTTAAGTTTCCAGAAAATAAAAATAAACTACGCTCTAAATGGAATGCAACATCCACCCACTCCCACCAAGACAACAGATAAAATCCTTCTCCACTCCGACTGCCTCAACAGGTAAACCCACAGATGTTTTCCTCACACATAATCTTTATCTGTGAAAACAAGCTAACAACTATCCAAGCAACCAAAAGACAGAGTTTTGAGAGGTATGTGTACTGGGAAAGGTAATATATAAAAGGAATACTAGGGAAATAGGATTTTGACTCCTCCTATTAGGCAGATAGCTTTAATTTACTATATTTCTATAATTCCTTATAGCCATTAGGACCCACATGAACTTTATGCCAAAAATAAGCCAAACTAAAATCATGCTCTAACTTCTCTTTCTGAAGATAGTAACCACATTTTCACTGAAATATAGGTAGGCACATTTACTATAAACTACAATCAAATATCTGACACCAAACAATCACAGTAATACACTTAACAAGTACACTGAACATCTATATTAAGTAGCACAAGCAAACAGGGAACACAGAACTAGTCACCACTTCCGAATCATCCACAGCATAGAGAATCCTTTGCTTGCCAAAGAGGAGCACCACATACATGAAGAGACTAGACAAGATCTTTATCTCTGCCTGATCCAGTCCAATCAACTACTTTGGGACCAATAAAAGGAGCCAAAGCCACTGTACCATAGACCTCAGCCTTGCTTCTAAAGTAACCTTACTGGCTATCCAATCGTCATACTATTAAATGGATTTCCTTGCAAATTCCTGTAAGCAAACGAATTGACCAAAGTAGGTACCACGTTTTCCTGTATTTCACTTTACTGGGCTTCACAGATTTTGTGGGGTTTTGTTGTTGTTTTTTTTAAATTGAAGGCAAGACTCTCCACAAGCAAAGGGACTGACTGGCTACAGTGGTCTAGAACCAAACCTGCAATATCTTCAAGGTATGCCTGAATCTTGCTACAATGCCATATGGCAATTTTATCTCAATAAAACCGGGGCAGTGCGGGCGGGGGGAGTGGAATTCAACAAAGTATGTATCTTTCCTGAAACTGTCTGAAGAGCTTATTATGCATAACATCACATTTAAATATATTTTATTTATAAAGAGCTTACATAACCAGTAATAATATCATTAACTAAGGCTCAACATAAATCTGCAAATTTCAGATAACACTATAAACGTTTCTTTTTTACTTTAAATAGAACTATGGTTTAATTATTTTATTTAAATAATAACCATTACGTAATTTCTTTTCCTCAGACTCATAAGTTTTCATGCATATTTACAATATATTGGTTTAAGTTAAATTAGTATCTGCAATAAATCAAAGCTAAATTAGACTAATGTATTAGAAAGTAATACATATGATAGCAAAGTTGCAATCTAACCATCACATTTTATGTGGATTTCATCTATCGAAAATGAGACTAAAGCTCTTTAAAACAAATTAGTTGCCAATAATTTTTTGAAATTTAAGCAAGTATATAAATTAAGTTCATATATTTACCATTTCGATTGTAAAAAGGTTAAAAAAATAATGTATGTGGTAAAATAGAGCTTATTTAAAAGCAGAGATTCAAACTATTAAAGCAAACACTATCCTAAGAAACAAGGAATTTTAGGTTTAATTCAAACTGAAGTTTTTCTGTAAATCGATCCATTTACATGAATTGGCCACCAAAGCCTAAAGAAAGATATGCAATCTGAAACAGGCTTAAATGTAACAAAAACTCTTACTGCTAAACAGTTTTACCAAAGAAATGTGTTTTATTTGAGTGAAACATCCTTTGAACATTACTTTAAGTTTATATACTATTTATGACTCTCGTGTAAAGAAACATACCAACATAATAAACCTTATTAGAATTTTTCCTACACAAAATAGTTGTCGACTAGACAACTATCAATATATCCATCTGTGAAAATTTCACTTTCATTAATAACTATAGTTGCTATCTTCACTTTCAGATAAAAACAGATCAGTAAAATCAGAAATCATACCAAACAATAAATTCTACCTGCATTCAATATTGGAAACATTTTCCTGCAATCTGCCCTCCCACCTTCAATCCATGAGACTACCAATTTGAACTATAAAAACTCCATATTGGCGTGGTTCCAACACTGACCTCAGATCAAAACAGAAAGAAATGTCTGAAAATAGCCAAACAGCCATCTTCCAAGTACTGCAACAGACCCAAGATGCAGTATAAAGCTGGAGGTTGTTTTTCTCCTCTTCTTCTATGTATTTGTAGATCATTAATCATTTCCAGGCAAGTATTTTTACTTCCTATAAGTAAACTCTGACCAGAAAATTGATGACATGTGGTCATAAATGAGTATTTTAAATTTAACATCATTGCCTCTAATCACCTATTTTCAATCCCAACTGATTACTATAAGAAATTATGTAAATCAGGAAGAACAGTTTAATGTTACAGCACTTTTAAAAATCAATTTGCAGCAAGATAACAATTGAATAATTATCAAAAAGCAAATATTTTAGCCACACTGTTATTCTATCATGAAAAAAATCATTTAAGACTCCAATACAGCTTTTACTAAAAAATAATTATATCTGTTACCCTAAAATTTCATTATCTTATTGTTATTGTATTACCCTATTTCTGGCAACTCCACTCTACTACTATAAACATACTTGCTAAATATTCCATTTATGCACAGAAACAACAACTACTGCTGCCTTCCACAGTCATTTAAATCTAAACCACAATGATGTTTTTACTAATAAACAGACTACAACAATAGTTACACACCAGAATAGCAGTTCAATTATGACTTCTGTAAAAGATAAAAATAAATAAAAATCCACAAGTACTTACCTACAGTTGGGAGGAGGGTCCAACGTAATTTCTGCAAGTTCCTTCTGAATTCTTTAAAATAAAGACAAAAAAAGTTATGTTAAAATGTCTTCACTCTCTTAATATGTCATTAAAATATTAAACCTTTACACTAATATTTCCCATTTGCATGTTTTTAATTTGAAATATTAATGTATAAATCATGTTGTATAATGTTGTATAAAACAAAGTCTTAATTTCTGTCATGATTTTGAAAAACTACAAAGTGTAACAAGATTGGCCATTATTCAGTGCATATAGCCTATGGAAGCAATACTGTGACTTAAAATTTCATTAAACTATTGATAACTTCTGGCTTAAAATGGAAACGTTTGCTAGATTATCTATGGATCATTCCAACTTTTGATTTGCACTAGAATATCCCCACACAGAATAAAAAGATGATCATATTAAATTAAATCCAAGCATCCTGACTGATTCAATCAATTGAAGAAACAATTATCAGGATGTCATTCCAACACCTGAAACTGCTATCAAAATATATATGGTATTCCTCCCTGAAACCTCTAGGTTGGAGCAGGTTGAGGCTTTCAAGTTTGACATTGTTCCTTCTGCTAAGACTATCATAATATGTGAATAATCATTTTAATGTCGTTACATGAACTTCATGCAAAGAAAAAAAGAGAACTTTTTTTAAACCTACTTTTGTTCTCATGTGTTATTTTCAACTTTGACTTTTAACTGCATCTAACCCCGGATATATACATACACAAAGGTTAACAGTGCTATATTGTTTTGTCAGACAATACTTAGCAAGATCTTAACTATCATTCATGCATTAAGCCAAGCTTTGTTAAAAAAAAAATTCTCAAAAGCATTTCTTCTCCTTTGGTTTTTAAACATGAGATTTACTAATTGCTCCATGCCTACTGTCTGGTAATCACTGTAATAGTATATGGACAATAGCTGACTAAAGTACCTTAAAAACAAAAATTTGAACAAAAAACATATATTCTCAGTTTAATTCTAAGGTTTTTTTCAAAACAACAAATGGAACTATCAGAATAGATAAAACTCCTCCAAAAGGACTGGCACCAACTTCCTAAGGGAACTGCACGCTACTAATATAACTTTCACTTCTCTAAGCCATGTGATTCAAGGCCGGGAAGGCATTAAAGTAGAACAAGGCCAATAAATTCAAAGCCAAGAAAACTTTCATTTTAATTCTGCCATGCCATTAACTGAGAGTCCTTGGGTAAACAGACTGTTCACACCTGCTCTCTCGTTTACCCTCAACTTTCTGTCCTATAAAATGAAGAGGTTAACTAGGACAAATTCCATTATCTCTTTTATCTTTAAAACATATGATTTCCTTCTAATATGGATTCTATGATGTTTATATGCATATAAAGTACAAATGGCCCACAATTAAATGAGAGACGTCTCAAAGATCTGATATAGGAGAACACCTTTATAGATTTCACGGAAAAATGTAAACTAGGCACTTGAAAACTAAATGGTAAGTCCAGGTTAAAGAGAGAAAACCGAGCACACATATTCACTTCCCACTCCTGCAGGACCCCACCTAGTGGGAGAAGATACAGGAAATTTAAAAAGGAATAATCAGCAAAGATAAGGAGGTGATCATCAATGAATGGGAAGTTTCAGTTTATTTCTGGAAGACAAAGTGGATGCGTGTAAATTAAACAGGTTGAGATGGCCAAGAGGGGGCTGCAAAGTGCATAAAGATAGAATAAAGACACATTATTCGAGGAGGAAAACAAAGAAAGGCAACCAGAAATCCCAGAAGAAAAGCACTTCTGTAAGAAAATCATAGATCAAATATGAAGGTAACTAAAAAGTAAAATAATTTTAATCAAGTAACAAATGTTAAGGAAAAGAAGAGATCTGATATATTTTGCCTAAATGTTGACTCACTGAGTAGTCTAGAGATCGTGACATTAGACTTGTAGGAAACCTAATCCTAACAATATTTAAATATTCAAATATAGTAAATGTTCAGACAATTTATTAATCTTATAAATAAAGCAGAGAAGATAGGTTGTAGTAACACTACACAATGTAAATGTCATTAATCTTAAAGATGTAAAATTAAGTGTAGCTAATAGAAATAAGCAAAAAGTGGATAGAGGATGGGTGTGAGTAGACAGAAGAATGAAGATATTACTATCCCCATTTTACAAAGTAGGGATCTAATAAATACTTTTGAAATTTAAAGGAATAAGAAATGGTGGCTTAAATATATTTAGTTTAGAAAGACAACCAATATTTTTTTTTAACGTAACTATCATTAACTGAGAGAAGGGAAAAGAGTATGTAAACAAGCTACATTCTCAAATTTCACAGCAAAAAGTCAAAAGATATTATTTATGTTAACAATTTAACAACTAGATGTAAGTATATTGTTTAGAGTTCTACAGAAAACCAATAGAAGGACTAAAATCAGAGACAGCTAAAAGAATTTGTTCAAGGGAATAAAATTTGGATAGGAAGGGTGTTTGGACAGAAAACTATTGCTTTCCATCAGAAATGTCCCTGTACTACTTAATTTGTTACCAGAACATGAATAACTTTTACAAGTTATTTTTAAACTAAGAGGACCAAAAGAAAAAGTATTCAAAAGAGCATGCTTTAACTGTCAAAGAACACTATTTTTAACATAAAAGAACTTCATTGGGATCTCTCAAATAAGTCATCTTGCTTTATACTTATACTGTCCCTTTTGGCTTAAAGAAATTGATATATCATAATTTTCTGCCATAGAATTCTATTGGAACTTGA